TCCAGTGATAACAAGAACATTTTCCACATAAATCACCAGGTAATCTGCCATTTAAGATACGAATATTGCAACTTTTACAAATATCAATCAAATGTTTTCCAAAATTATTTTCCTTGTTATCCATTATGTATTTGTATCAGAATCTACAAAATAGTTTGAAGGAACTGTGATATGAATGGAAGTATCATTTTTGATATAATCAGGTAGAAGAACAGTTCGGGCATTAATATCACCCATAATTAGAACTGAATCATTAGAACTATAGCCAGTTACCATTTTTTTCCAATTGATCAAAAAAAAGACTTTGACTGATTAATTGAATTTTCTGGTGGTTTATATATAAAACAAATATACAAACCTTTGTCAATATCAAAGAACTGTTTTTCTAATTTACACCAAATCATATCAGCACTGTTAGAATTAATAATTGTTATGCCTTTTTTTATTGATTTTTTGATGAGGATGGAAACCCCGCCTCTCTTATTATTCTTTCGTACAACTGAGTAATCATAGTAACCAGATAAATTTAACATATTCTTGTTCCCAGTAGTAAGCCATGTTTCTCCGAGACCTATGATGTCATGATGATTGATATTTTTGAGGAAATCTGTATCCTGAAGTTTATTTATAATACCCTGGACATTCCAGTAGGAAATAGAAATGGATTTTTGTTTACATTTGCGTGGGATCATGAATTTGTTAATTTAGTTACTATTTATTTAAAACAAATTATTGTACTGGGTAGAGTGATATGTTCCTGATATCTTTGCTCTTTCTGCACTGTAGTATTGAGGATAATTGTTATTTACAGAGCGGCGTATTCTATTTATTCCCAGTTTTGGACCAATAACATCTTTAATATTTCCGACTAATAGAGCTGTACCTCTATCATTAAGATGAACTTCATCAGATAGATGTCTGATAGAAATATTTCTATTGTGTATAAATACCAATTTAGTATTTCCATCACACATGTTTTGCAGTCTTGCGTTTATATTGTTAGCTATGATATTAAAGTTTACTTTATTTCCTCGCGGTAGTATAGATGATACATATATCGTAGCCTCAGGGAATTTCGTTGACACAGATTCAGTTAGACGATTGTACTCTCTCATTGTGGCATCTGGAGAAATATTACTATCAATGTCATTTGTGCCAACATGTAAGACAACATTTGTTGTATTTGAAGATTTGACTGACATAATATAGTCTGTAACTTGTGGAACGTTGCTGCCTCTAAGGGTTCTCACATGTGTATTTCTGTATGGATGGTTTTATATTTTGCAGAATTGAGTCACCGACAATAAGAGTTTCCATCTTAGAGTGGTTCTTTATCTTTGGTGATCTCCACTGATTTGTGTTACTTGCTTGAGTGGTTATGGTGTTATTGACTTGATTTGACTCCTCATTATTAGTCTCATTTATTAGTGGAGTGAAGGGATTTGTTGAAACTAGTGGTGGTGGATTATGGTTGTTCCACGATTGTTGTTTATTGTCCTCTGCTTCTTTTATTTTTGCTTCTAGATTCTCATTTTCTTTAGTTAATTCGTTTATCTTCGTTTCTGATAATAATAGTTCCTCTTGTACTCTTTCTTTGTCTTTTTCTGATTTCTGAGATGTACTTTATATTCACTAGACAGTTTAATTGCTTCATCAGTCTTGGCTTGGGTGTGCTGTATCATTTCTTTCATGTTTAGGATATTGGTGTCTAGCAGATTGATTTTATTCCCAAGTATTTTTATGTCTTCTTTTAATTCATTGGAGCTGTCGTGTGATTTCGACTGAGTAGATTTCTTGAACATATCTTGGGTTTTCTCTGACAATTGTAGTAGTTTGTTCATTTGCTTGTTTTGTTGGTTAAGATTTGATTCAACTGATTCATCCTATCTCTTATCATAATATTCCGGTGCGGACGTTTTTATTGGCTTGAAATGCATGTACACCACCAGCGGTCGTTTTACATAGCAGTGAGTGACTTGTCCGTTTGTCAGGGTATTAACATAGATAGTGGATACAAACAAAACAAAACAAACAAAAAACACATTGTGATATTTTTATTTTTCCGCACATTGTCTTGTGATTTATTTATTTACTCGGCACTCAGGGTGACAGTGTTTGAAGGCATACGTGTGTATCTATGTGCGCCACATCGACAAAATAGTATAGCGCCAATAGCGGCGAATGCATAAAATCTCGCGAATCACGAAAAATGGTCATGCGTAGAACATTCTAGTCGCCATATTAGATTTGTGTCATTTTATGGATATGGATTCTGTTCGAACCTGGTTGCTAACAAATTTTTATAAGATGAAAATGAGTTATATATGTCCCCTACCTTTATTGTGAACCGGCTGGAACATTTCTGAATACTGTACTAATGAATGATACCGACAGCATGGAGAAGAAAGACTCTTTTGACAGCTGTAAGAGCCTGGTTTTCAACGCCGCCCGAGAAGGAAAATTGAGCCGATTGAAGGTATTCCTTGACCAGAGACCGAAGGAGGAAGTGAAATGTCTAGTTTCTGCTGTTACAAACGGAACAACGCCGCTGCTGATGGCATGCAGACATGGCCATCACGAAATTGTAAGGTATTTTGTCGAAGATTGTGTCGTGGATATCGAACAGGTTGGTTCCGTGACGTTCGATGGCGAGACTATCGATGGCGCACCTCCATTATGGTGTGCCGCCGCCGCTGGCCATCTCGTTATCGTTCAGAATTTAATTCGTCACGGTGCCCAAGTGAATCACACCACCTTCACTAGTTCTACGCCTCTGCGTGCTGCATGTTTCGATGGTCATTTTGATATTGTTAAATACCTTGTTGAACACAAAGCCGACATTGAATTAGCTAATCGTCACGGACACACATGCCTGATGATTGCGTGCTACAAAGGTCATCTCCAGATAGCAAGATATCTGTTGCAGCTTGGCGCTCATGTGAATAGGAAAAGTGTCAAGGGTAACACCGCACTCCATGACTGTGCCGAATCTGGTAGCTTAGAAATTATGAAGTTATTGTTGAAGCACAAGGCTAAAATGGACGTAGATGCCTATGGTATGACCCCTTTAATGGCTGCATCAGTAGCCGGCCACACAACTATAGTACAGTACTTGGTGTCCAGACCAGATTGCTCTAAACAAGAGCGTATTGATGCTTATGAGCTCCTTGGAGCCACCTTCGTTGACAAAAAACGCGATATGATGGGCGCGTTGAAATTCTGGAACCTAGCTATGGATGATCGATACAGAGACAAAACAAATATTATCGGTAAGCCTGAACAGAATAGTATAGTGCCTGCGTATGAATTTACCATGGAAGCCAGAACAAAAGATGATCTTGATGATGTTATATGTGACCCTGATAAAATGAGAATGCAAGCATTATTGATCAGAGAACGAATTCTCGGCCCAGCACATCCAGACACTTCTTATTACATTCGTTATCGTGGTGCTGTTTACGCTGATGCCGGAAACTTTGAACGCTGCATTATGCTGTGGATGTATGCTTTGGACATGCAACAGAAAGCGCTAGAGGCTTTAAACCCTATGACCCAGAGCAGTTTGCTCTCATTTGCGGAACTTTTTGCTTACATGCAAGCAGAAAGAAACGGAGAGAAAGTCAGTAACTTTTTAATGAGTGATGATGTAATAGCGGTGTTTATTAAAGGGGCGAGCGAGATCGAAAGGGGAGTGCAGCAGCTGCAAATAGCCCCTCTTAATGAAAAGGACACTACAAATTTTAATCGGGCACTACTCATATTTATGCATCTTATCTGCTTAGTTGCTAAGCTTAAGAACCTACACAAAGAAATCAACATCAAGAAAAGTTTGTATCGTCTGTTGAGACTCTCTCCCCGTGGTGCTAAAGGGTTTACACTTCTTCATTTGGCTTGTGATAAGGACACATCATCTGTTGGACGCTATCCAGTATGTTCTTTCCCAAGTCTTGAAGTTGTGCATCTGTTAGTGGAGTGCGGTGCATCTGTGAACGCTGTCAATGGCGATTCAAATACTCCATTACATGTGGCTGCACTTAATTCCAGCAATAGTACAGACACTATAATTAAATATCTCATTGAAAATGGTGCCCATTTTGATGGATGCAATGCTGCTAAAAAAAATGCAATGGACCTGATTCAAGGTACCAGTGACATTCCCTGGATGAATTACATAACGTTGCAATGTCTCGCCGCTAAGGCCGTGTTGAAATATGGAATTGTGTACAAAGGTCATATACCTAAAAAACTTGAAACATTTGTGGAGTTGCACTGAGCAGTCCAGAATACGGATTTACGTAGACAGACACTTAATGTCTTGCTGTAGCATGATTACATCGCCCCAGATTATTTAATTTTATAGTATATGATTCGTATAATATAGTAACAAGGGAAAACTTTCAAGTACCAGTCAACACAAATTGAAAAAACAGAACAATTAATATTTATTACAGAACACTGCATACAATGTATGTTTCAGTCAAAAATTTTGTTGAAGCAAAGTGTTTATGGAAGGAAAGCCATTTCGCTAGTTCACTAGTATTTTAACATATCCTATTACTATAATACTTTTCTTGAGTTTTTGTTGACATGCCCAAGTTTTTTGTTTGATTTTTTGGAAATCATCCAAAAACTGTACAAGACAAAATGGTGAAATTTTTAAATTTGAGAATACAAGCTGACTGCTCTGGCAACTACAGCATAAATCAGAATGTTTTGTTCGCTATACTTTTCCTGGGTACTTTACAGTAGGCTATATAGACACTCACTGGGATTTTCTATTTGCGTCTTGATACACAATTTTAGGGAGGGAGGCGAGGGGCTGTGAATAAATCCAAAATTTCTTTATTACGACACTGAAGTTCCTATGGTAAATGTACTTGACACTGATAAACAACAAGACAAAATTCCTCATAATATTGTGTTCATCAATATTTGTTTATTTGAATAAGAAGTACATGTGTCTTATGGGACTTCAATAAATTGAGGCATTAAGAACTATGCAGTTATATTTGTATTACACACGTTTTACTTCTTCAAAATCAGTTGTTTGTTTACTACGTATAATTCTATACTGCCCAATTTCTTGCAAAACTTAAAATAAACCCAAGTAGCGTATTTGGCCAAAAGTAGCTGTAATTTAATGATCCGTTATACGATACACATTTGTTCTACTGGAGCAAATATAATGCATACATATGTCTTGCTGGTTTAAATGCTTGTGCCTTTACTTTTTTTTCGTGTGTGTGTGGTTTGATACCCTGACATACACCAGTTCTTTTTGTCACTTTGTTTTCTTCTCTCTATCTATTTGTGTTGGTTCAAAATGTACTATGAAAAATCATTCCTTCATAGTGACAGAGTCCTGCCATGCATTGTCATTCGTAAGATGGCAAATCTTTATTTGGATGAGAAATCTATTACAATTGTTGCATGATTATTTATTTGCATAAAAATAAACTTTTTAGCCAGTGAGAAAAATGGATGATTTTGGTACGTGTATTGATCTTTACAAAATAAATATTAAGCAACCTAATTTCTGAAATTCATCTTGTAACTATACATATGCTACAGATACCCATCATACAATATTTTTTTACCTCTGCTGTAGTCGTTGTTCATATACATGATTTTCTGTTGTCCATTCGTCAACAGTGCTTTTTTGACTTCTTGAAAACTACCACTTCAATTGCTTTGATACCTGGTATGCAGGTACCTCGGTTGGATCTGTCGATTGTTTATTTCATGACGATATCTTCAATTCTGTATATTTAACAAATATTTTTGACTTCTTGAAAACTACCAGCTCAATTGCTTTGACACTTTGCATGTTTGTACCATGAGATTTGTAACAAGATGAGAACAATTGTAATTGCCATGGCAACAACAAACTAAATGCTTTTGATAAGGCAAAAACATTGTAGGAACACTAATAACCATGGCAAATAACAATCTCAGTTAGAATAGGGCTTTAAAAGTGTTGCTAATTGAAAATTCCAGTTGCAAATCCACTGCTTAGGTTAATTATGTGTTCATTTCTGTTTTATTTTGAAATTTTCAAAACTTGATTTGAATATTTCAGATAGACAACTTAATCACATCTCTATACTTCATAGAAGTGTCCTCAGATGTATTATGGGCCTTTAATTATGTCAATTTCGTAAAAGATAAAAGTGACCTTATCTTGAAAATTACCAGTAAACAACACCCATTGAATGGCCATTCTATTTAGGAATGCCTATCATCTCAATTTATTCTATCAACATTTACATAATTCCCGATGCTCAAATGTGCTTACCATATCTGTTAGATATTACAGAGGGGTTTCTATGAACAATAAATACTTTGTTTAATGATATATAAATGTAATTTTTGGTTTTGTGTTTCTGATGGAGATGCACATCTACAGTACATATTACCACAAGTAAATCATATCAATGGTATGTCGTTGTGGATATACATGTATGATTAGTACCACTGTACAATGTATTTCTATAGGCTCTCTGTGAGCTGCTGTGGAACAGCTAAATTTGAGAAAACAACGCAAACTGAATAACCAAATTTATATATATTGCACATGTAGGGGTAATCTTGATATACCATTCAGGAGAGTCTTAAAACTAGAGTTTTTGACCGTTGTTTTTATCTGTTGTGGTTGCCAGGCGATGAAAATATGCCCGGATGTTGACTCCCAAGAATGTATTTTCAAACCTAAAGTCAAAACTCAAAGAATACTATTATTTCTTTACCAAAATAATAATTCATAATACTGTAAATGGTTTTGTTTTTTCTTTTACTATCATTATTTTCAGACTATCTTGACTGGGATGAATCATTTGCTTTTGATATTGTCCAGGGTATGAACTTTTAGGTGTCTTAATGCTTGATAATTCTAAAAACTAATTCTGTATCTATTTATCTTGCGTTGAATTCATCGCTGATAGAAGAACTGCAGGCAGCTGTTATAGAATATCTTCTACTGGCTTGTACACTTCTATACCAACTTCTTGTAGATCACACATCCTAACTGTGTACTGCCCCCAGTGTTGGAAATTGCATACAGCAATGCCCAAAACTGTAACATACTGCCCTCAGTGTTAGAAAAATTTCATATTATAAATTTTCTTTTTTTTTTTTTTTTTTAAAGTTGTATTGTCGGCAAAGTTTATTGTTTAGCCATTAAGCCCTCCCCCTAATCTATTTCACTCATTAAACACCCCAAGCAGAATTCAAACAGCAATGCATGATGGGATTTATTATAGTGAAGACAATGAGTAACTAAAGGACATAAAACGTCAGGTTTCGAAAGGTATAACTCGTGAATCTTAACTTACAGATTTGATTTGTAGTCAAGTTATTCAAGTTTTAGCGACAATGCAACTTCAAAGAGTGGTGTGAAATGGCAAGTTAGCACATCCACACCTGGATTACCAGTATACTGCCCTCAGTGTTATAGATTTTTTATTATAATTTGGGTAGCAGGAAATGACACCTCCAAAATTGTATAATGCTCTTAGTGTGCAAAATATGATCTCATAAGTAATTTATTAAAGTGTTCAGTGTGAAATTCTTTGAAGGAACTCGTCATAATCTTTTAATGATACTGCCCTCTGTGGTAGGAATTGACACAGCATGAATGTTCACAACTGCAGAGACATGCCTGCATTTCAAATAATACCATAATATAAAAAAATGTTAGTTTTTTTTAAAACTGCTAATCAAGGTTAAAGCCATAAAATGGAAAAAAGCCTGTATGAATAAAAAATTGAATAAAATATTAAAATAGCTATTACCGGTAATTAGTTCTACACGTTTCTAGACATTCAGCCTCTCAAATGAACTTGTGTACCTGTAAATGCCATTTTTTTTTCTAAATATAAAACATACGAGTTAGTTTTAAAAACTAGTTTCAAATCTGTTGAACCACGTATTTGCTATTTCATATATATATATATATATATATATATCTATATAGGGATGAACAATGTTGGTAGTAGGGGTGATAGAACTTCAAAAAACATGTCAATCATGGATCTGGGTGTATAAAAAAAAGATAGCGACTAGACTTCAACACAGTCAACTGTGATTTCAAGGTGCAAATCATTCTCAATGTTGATGGATCTTGTCAGAATTCTCCGTGAAATTGCTCAATTTGATAATCAGAATGCATGGTGTACGGTATTTTCCTGTCGCAATCAGTTATGAATATTATTTTGACAAGATTTTAAGTGGAATTCCAGTATAAAATTTGACGATCAAGGCATGTTTTAAACTAAACAGACATGCAAGTCTAAAAACATGTTAATCTAATGAAAGTGACGATATATCCTGATAATGGTGTACATAATTAGAACACTGGATTAACACCTCCAAAAATGTACAGAGTAATAAACAACAGGCAGGGCATGCAACTTCCCATGACACACTAGCTAGTGTAATCCTAAAGATTTTGGAGGAATGGATTTAAATATGTAAGAATAAGCATGAAAGATGTAGATTTCACCACTTAATTTAATCATCTCCATCATTAGATCATAATTATTTCAGTTTATCGTTAATGAATAACTACAATTAAAAATTCTCAACAAATGCGAATACAATATTTTGTGATGCAAGAAAGACAACACACACCTTTATTTTTCTGATATCAATTTATTCATATTTGTTGTCTAAAACAACACGAGTTCAGAACACAAATCCATATAATACTTAGTTTCCCTTCCTGTTATTTCCATACTATGCATGTTTTGCGACCACACTGTGCAACCGATATATTCATTACCCACAAAAATTGCCGAGGCAAAATTACCATTGAATTGCATCATTACAAATATTATAATAATGTAGTATTACACAGAAACGTATATATAGTATATTTCACGACAATCATCAGGAAATTGACATCTTCAAAATAACCTGTCGACATATACCGGTATATACTGTAATTTAAATTTATACATACAACTGTGTCTACATGTGGCACAGTGTGAAGATTCACAATCAATCAGAGTACAAAAATACAATTACTTGTTCAAAAAAATAAATTATCACACATCAAGACGTTAAATATATTATACAAAACTACATCAGCTGATCGTGGATATTTTTCAGATGCATTTTAACACTTAATGACTAGCATAAGTGGGAGAAATAATCCCTCTTGTTGCTACAAAAAACAAAAAAACATGTTGCAAACCTTTTGAAGTATTGCCCTGCACGAACACATTTTAATGAGAAGTATAATCGTGTAACACTATAACCTATTGATAATTTGAAATGAACGGAAGTGCCCAAAAAAGGCAGACGTATCTTCGGGGGCGGAGCTACGTCACAGACGTTCCATGTTGCTAAAACGCGCACCACTGTACCATGCATTTCTATGGGCTCTGTGCGCGCTGCTGTGGAACGCCGGTCGAGCCGGTGAAAATTCGAGAAAACACAAACTCAACTTTGAAGTAATCCTGAACAACCAAATTTATATATGTTACACACGTAGGGCTAATCTTGTTACACTGTTCAGGGGAGTCTCAACAATCATCCCAAAGTACTGTTTTCTGCGAGTTTTGGGCCTTTGTTTTCACCGCCGCGGGTTGCCAGGCGGTGAAAATGCCCGGATGTCCGCCCCCGAGGATACCGCCTCATTCTGCGTATAATACATAAATCCCTGCTATATCAATCGTATAAGCAATGTAAATGATGGATACATGTAATCGGATCATCGTCATTCTTGTGCACTTTCTAAATTTTCAAAATGACATTGCTTGCCATTACAACATGTGTGAAAAAAGTGATATGTAAATTAGCTAATTAATATGCACAGATTATATTATTTAATTCAGAATTCTAAATGATTTAAATTTGCGAAGTTCCTTTTTGCATAATATAATAAAGGTAAAAAAAACAAATAAACTTTGTAAATAACCCCACAATTAATAGACCATCTGTGGTGTATACATCAGTAATCTTTGAAATATCAAACATCTCGTTCAAACCTAGTGGAGTTATAATAATCCTGAAAATATGTTTTTCTGTTGGAAAATATAGGGATAGTCACTCAGGAATACAAACATTCAAAATTGGTTCAACTGACTGGAAAATGTGCTAAATTAAAACCCAGTGAATATGTAAAATTTAGCATAGAACACATTATCTAAATGATAAAACCATGAATTTAAAACGCATTGAACATGCCTGAAATGGTAAATCAGCAAAATTTAAACCCAGTGAAAATTGGTCATTTTACAGTATTGTGTATACATCTCTCACGTATCTTAATCTTATAGCATGCCCAAATGTTGTGGTATTGCATGAGGTATCTGTATTTTACCTTGTAAGGAAATGGAATTCCAAATATGAAATGATTATGTGGTTTATCCAAGATGACAGAAATTTTGGGGGAAAAAAAGATCATAGCAAAAACGTTTCAACAACTTTGGGCTTCCTATGCACCAACAAAATTCTACACCCCAGTATCTAAAACCTAAGTGACTTGAATTAAATATATACCATATTTGCTCTATTATTAGCTTATGTGCTAATAAAAACAGTGATGTGTCTATGATTCAAATAAATAATATTTTTGGATGATCCGGTATGTTACATGCACCTCTATTGCAGATGTGCTTCTAATAGAGCAAATACAGTACCAAAGTTTTAAGGAGTTTATTATGTTTTCAGGGAGAGTAGGATTATGTGCATGGCAGTTTCCACTTCAAATTATTTTTTGTTCAGATATGACCCTTGCATGTGCTTGAAAAATAATTCATCTTCAATGCTGAAAAACATTCACTTAATATATTAACAAATTTTACATTGGAGTATTAATGTTTAAATATATATCATTATAGAATATACCACAGAATATAGATTTATATTTAATATATACATGTATACAAAACATTCTCGACAAGAAATGACATCAAACAACAACACAATATATCTGTAAAAATTTCAGTATAGAATGATCTAACCGTTAATCAACAACACAAAAAAGACAGTACCGGTAAACCTGGAAAAATGAATTAATGTTTTGTCGAATACTAGGAGACAATTGACTGATTAACACTACATTTTACATCCAGTTTTCAACAAAACTATTTTGTTGAACTTTAAAACAACCAATGACAGAACCACAGGACTGTGACAGAAGAAAACACAACATATACAACACTGGAACTGAATAATTTGTATGTCTAATAAGCATTAACATCAAACAAGGTTCTCTAACTTGATGACCAAACTTACTGCAACAATCTCTATGGTCAGTGGTGGCGGCACAGGGGGGGCAGCCGCCCCTCGAAAAAAATGTTGGGGGATGTTGCCCCTCCAAAATCAAGTTTGAAACCCTTTGTGACAGCAAAATATGCCCCTCAAAATGCAGGAAATAGTGTTTCAGAGGGTCTAGATTTCAAATTTTAAGGGGGAGCATGCCCCCGCAGCCCGTAGTAAGGTCACGCCTTCGGCACGAGGTTGGTGAGCAGATCTCGCACCCTCATGCAAAATTGTGTGCCGCCGCCGCCGCCTCTGATGGTAACTTGGGTTACATGACAAATAGAAGAATAAAATGTGCAAAAAACCAATATGGCAAACTGCCCTTAATCCTTTCATGATTTAATTCACACAGTAAAAAAACAAAACAAAACAAAAACAGCTATTTCCGGTATTTATTTTACCTCAGGTGTCTTTTTGTGAGGATTATAAGCTCATAGCTAGAACAAAGGGACAAAAAATAGATATGTGTCCAATTGCTATAATTAAACACTCTGTATGTGGTATGTGGATTGTATTATAGAAAATAAATGAGATACATTTTTTTTCTTAGACTGCGATAAGTTTATAAAGTACACATAAAATATGTAAATGAATGATACAAAATAGTGTTCAACATCAAAGCAAGAGTAATCAAGAATAATTTCCCATGATGCATTGCATCCAACCTAACACGTGCACACAAACTACCATTGTCAATCATTGTATCAATCCACAAAATGTAGTCCAGTTTAAAATGAACTCATTTCCATACAAGACGTTGATCAGAGTCTTCTTCGTAATCTTCTGTTAAATCTAATAATGAATTTGACGCATAACTGATGAGAATGTTGGCAATTTGGTTGATTTGGAAACAAATTGGACAGTGGAAGGGTTGACATGGTAATGCTTGGGCTGAAACAAACCTAACCTAAGATAATCAATAATAATAATAATAATAATAATAAATACATTTGACATATAAATGCTCTCCAGAATGCCAATAAATCTAATATGTTTGACTTAAAAAAATATATAATTTTTAGACAAAATAGATTATTTTATGCAGCTTAATGAAATCAACAGAGCATTGAATTGTTTTAGTGTGTGATGACTTCCACCATACCCAGTGATGCATCATGGGAGATATAAATGACCACTGCATACCAGAATAAAGTATATATAACCAACAAGTTTGGTTTTAAAAACTGTGCATTGTATTATTAAAAAGCCACTTATAAAATTTCAAAACATCTTTGGCAAAATTCTTGCAAAAAAAGAATTGGAAATAAATAGCACCCAACTGTCTGTAATGATCCCAACTAAACCACATTTGAATGAATCGCAAAGACGGTTTTAACTCAGTGTATCCATTCTCTGAAATGTTGCAATTGCATCAAGTTCAATGGGAAAATCTCGAATCCATTTTTCACCTTCGTATATATTTCCATTCAGTAGAGCCTTCCAATCCCCTTTAGGTAAATAGATGTCTCTCTTCCGTGCGTCCTTCTCGAGAATTGGCGCCACCAGAAAGTCATCACCAATTAAGAACTCTGTGTCCAGTGCAAGTGTGTTTGGATCGTTGGGAGCCACCCACCATACAGGACGGATAATTGGTGCACCTGCAGTGAGCAAAATAAATGCAATAAATTATTTTTAATATTAACACTTGAAAACATACTAGTTAATTGCAATTACAAACGATTGAGTAATGGTAATAGGATTATGCACTGAAGGAAAATGAAACTCACCATCCCGCTCATGAAGTTGAATTATAAAAATTCTATAAATGCCATTTTGTGAATTGTACTTTTTACGATTTTTGTATACAAAAGTGTTCCAAATATAGGATACACTTGTTGTATACAAAAGTACATGTTTTGTATACAATTTGCATTGTATTTGTGTATTTTTTGAATACAAATCTTTTCCAAATTTACACTACTTCTTGTATATACAAAGATGTACAAATTCATTTAAAACAATTTGCACACAAAAAAGTATACATCTTGTCTAATGAATTTTAGTAAGGAATGCGAGGTGAAATTACAATCATGATGTCCATTTCTCTGCATGCAGATGCAACCTGAATCGTAGATAATTGTCAGAGGGAAATCAATCTGCTAACGTTGATGTAATTTACATTAAACATGGCATTCAGCAATTAAGCTACCTCTCGTAAGTACACTTTAAAGCAATATGTTGGTTAACATACTTCACATTAAGAATTCTCAACCTAATTCTTAATACATACTGGCTCCACGTAAAAAAGAAATAATTCATTTTCCAAATTAGGTAAATATTACTGATTGCTACTTTATATGCTAAATTAAGTCAGGTGAATTTTAGATCTTTACAGCATGACGAAATATGACCTTTTGAATATCAATTTTTGTCACCATCCACAAAATAACTTACGGTATGTCCATTTGGCTTAAAAAGATTAAATAACAACTTATCCAAATTGGGTCAGTAATGCCCAGGAGTTTTATTCCATAACATTCGATAATGAGTATGGATTAACGTAAGTAGCCAGTTGACATATAGTTTTCAATCATTCGAATATATTTATAAATCACTCGTATCTATAAGAGTTACCGAACAGCAAAATAAATCAACCAACCTCAAATGTATGTTAGATATAATAAAAAAAATACTGATTAATCGACTGACTCACCATTTTGCACAGATTCCAGCGTAAGATTATTAATCATAGGTGCCACTATGACTTCATGAATTTTCACCAGTTTATGAGCAATTCTCACAACTTCAGCATCATACTGCCATGGCAACGTGGTAAACTCCATAACTGGCAGATAAGTCACTACTTGCATCCACCTAATGTAAAGTTCCCTCTCGGGTAGCCCCTCTGTTTTAACATCCATATCCGTATTCCCCATGGGATTGCCTCCAATTGCAGCTGGAATAACATATGGATATCCCAGAATTCCGTACAGAAGTACAGTCGGAATGACAGATTTCAATCCATTGCTGTAGCACCATCCAGAGTTCTTTTCGCTCATCCGCAAAAAAATGGGATACCTCTGCGTACCCCATCCACTCTGTAACTGATTCTGATTTCCTAAATCAGTTGCCAATTGCACAAACATTTTTGAATACATATTGGGATTTCGCATCAAATAAGTGCGATGTACATCGTATTGATATGGAAGATACTGAGCCTGACCCCCGTCAAAATGAAGAACATCAACGTGACTTAGTAAATTGGAAAGTCGTTTTTTATACCAAGATTTTGCTTTCTCATTTGTTAAATCTAGCAGCACTCCGACATTTCCGTATCGTTTAACAAGACCGGGGACGTCGCTCTCACCATAGGTTACCCAGAATCCCTTGCGAGATCCTTCTTTGAATGCTTCGGACATTACACTGGAAAAGAGATTAACTTTCAGTCCTATGCGAAATCCCATTTCATGCAGACTATCAGCCATTAATCCGGGATCTGGAAACCTGTTTGGATCAAACGTGAGGTCACCATGATGCATGCTATATCTGTCGCTTATAACTAACTGACTGTGGTTGAAACTGTGCTGTTTGATTTGGGCTGCTATATCCAACACATCACTCTGATTAGTGTACGTATTCATGTCATACGATCGGATGTTCCATATTGGAAAGTTGACCACACTTTCATCAGGTTTTCCATTTGGAGGGAAGAGGTATCGAACTTGTACATACTCCTGAATGTCTCGGATGTTTTTAGCATCACAAATAGTGTACTTCAGATTTACAAATTTATCATCGTAACTTTTGTACGAAGAGTCAGTATAATCGGCTTTGAGACAAAAATATCCTGTGGGTTGATTGACACTAACATGCAACGGGACAGTATCGGGAACGACAATCATCATTCCATGGCTTGACATCCATATTCGATCCAATACAGATCCGTACCCTTTTGCATTATCCCATATATCACCCGTCACATACGGCTGCATACTGACATGGCCCTTTTCCAATACTAGGTATTGACGATAGGCTACCGCTCCACCATACCAATGTTCATTACCAAAACTGATACAGTCCTCGGGAACAAAATTATGCGACATCACTTGCCACTTTACTTCATAACATGTTGCTTTGGTATCAATCGTATTGAGGTCCACCCTCATCTGCGCTATTTTCAAATTTGACCGCTCGGATTCGTCTTCTATCCATTCTATGCAAAGATTCATTCGTCCACCGACATCTTCACACTGCATCGGAATTGACGTCATTGATAAGTGCTTACCAATATCAATTATCAACTTTTTACCTTCATTATTACTATCCCCAACAGTCAATTGTTGAAGACCGCTATCAAGTTCCAGCGGTCCCAACTGAAGTACAACTGTGTGTCCATGCTGGATGATGTAATACCATGCCAGAAGACCCGTCACCATAAAAGTGCTCAGCAACGCAGCAATAGTTTGTTGAACTCTTTTACTAAAGCGAAACATGGATACATCTGATGAGATTGAGTAATCCACACTGGTACCGGTACTCTCAGTCGGCTCCGTTTTCAATTGATGTCTGTTCAAAATATAAAAAGTCAAATTTATAGTCAAATATCAACAAAAAAGTTTAGAAATTATTTTGATGTGTTGAAAGCATGGCTGGGATAGTGAAAATATCCATAATTAATTGATATGCAAATTAGCTTAAAATTGAAACTATTTTGTCAGGGAAATTTATAATTAAAAACAAGTATTCAATCACACCATCCCATGGTGTTCAACCAATTTAGACATAACTGAAACAATTTATTATTACAGTTATTAGGTACTTTGACTCAAAAATCTAATCAACATGTCTGTGGATCATTCCGCTTTGATCTTTGTTATCTTGATACAGCTTTTGCGGGCTGAGACTCTATGGCGGAAGCGTCTGAGCTTTTGCATTGGCAAAAAAGCCCTGTCCAATAAAGGTTTTATCATATACCTCTTAGGGTTTATTAAAAATAAATGCAATTATTTTGCTTTTTAATCTTATTTTTGTAATTTATTCACATATTCACAGTGTTTGACACCATGACTTCTTAATGTCATGAAACCGTAATGCTTAAAAACACCAACTGTATTGTAAATAATAATTTTACTTTCTGTTTAGTCACAGACAAATTAATTACAATATTAAATGACTTTCCCTATATACAATCCATCATCATAAGCTTGCTATAATAAACTGGATCAGGTTCTCACAGATTAAAAAGGATAATCAAATATATGAGTGAAATCCATGTTAGATTAACAAGGTTTAACAACTAACAATTCAGCACAAATCCAGTGATACTAATTTTATAACTAGTATTATTTTTACTTATATTAGAAAATTAAACAAATATACCTGTATCTCATTACTGTATTTGCTCTATTTGAGTTCCTATAAAACAAATATCACATTGGCGATATACTAAATCATTGAAATGGGAAAAAAATACTTAAGTGCATGTGCTACTAATAAGGCAAATATGGTATATGTATACTGGAAATTACTTTAATTTCGCTTGCAACTAATTTTTGCTATTTTCGCTGAAGTAATGATTCAGTTAAAATAAATTCCAGCAAATATACCTTTTTTCCCGATATTTTACATTCAACTCGTCAAAAATCAGTGAAAATAAATTGCATACAAAACACCCGAAAAGTCTTTTCAGCGAAAATTAATCCCAGCTAAAATAAAGTATTCTACAGTACTGTATGTGGAATATGTAAATTTCTAATTTTATGATCAGACAGTCAAACAATTTCTTGATTAACATCTCACTAATGTGTTTTATCTACTGTGAATGTCTTATTAATTTAAATTATCCCTAGACACGTGGGTATTAAGAGAATATCATCAGAATCAGGTATTACTGGTATGCTCAATAAACTGCAACACATCCCAACAGGTATCACATGTTGTGCTACTGAGCATATGGAAATGCATTCTGGGAAATAAATTTCCATTGTATTTAATAGACCATATTGTGTAATTGGAAATGTTTTGTGATAAATTTAATTGTTTTATAAAATTACACAGCATTATTATTCACAAGAATTATTTAGATTTGCTTATGTCATCACAGCTCATCACCACTTTGTTTTCCTTCTTTCCCCTTATTCAAAATTATGAATGTTGATAATGGTAAATACTTGATAATACTTCAAAATATAGAATGATTTAAATTCAAATTAAAGCTTGTGGTTTTATATTTCCCTGTATGTATGTGCAACACTGGTTGCTGATTGGATAACACCCACAACAGTCTTCCACATTAGTGACGCCATATTTACTGTTACTGTGATTGGTCACACTGTTTTTCAGTGGCCCAATTTTCTGGTATATTATATGAAATCATTTTTTAGTCTGTCACCTCTGTGGAATATATCTATATACATGTATGTATAATATGAAATACTAAAACCCATGCAAAAATGGAGATAAAATGAAATATTTGACATTTTTCACAGACTTGCTAAGGTCTTTGGTTAGCCAAGAATCAAATGATATTAAGAATTAATTACTGATAACTGATATTTTTCAAAAAAGAAAAAGTCAGAAATAGTATTTTTTTACTAAAACTGACAAAGCTATTCATTAAAATTTAAGTTATCATGATGAAATGAACAAATCTAAGACAGAATCATCCAATGTGTTGGTATCAAAGCAATACAGCTTATGTTTTGAAGTGAAGTAGTCTGAAAAGTTAAATGTTGATGCCAAAAGATGTCACTGAAGATGACAGACAATCAGTAATTTGAATAACTTTGGTCTGTTCATTTTGTTATGCTTTTTACATTATTAATATAGCTGTCATGGGATTTGACATTAATAAACATAGACAGATAACATATTCAGAATATCATTTAGATTTCTATCTTCAGAGTCACATTTCACACAAACATATTGTGTTTCATACAAAAATACTTTTTTAAGAAAGGGTATATGATGTATGGTGAGAAGGTTTTAATATGGAAGTGTTATATTAAAATCATACGTATTTACATTTAACGATAATGCTCAATTTGTGGGACGACATCCATTATAATTAACATCTCCAGGTCGTACTTTAAACAAGCAGCCTCTCGGCTGAGATAGCTCTGCTGTTAGCAATGCACATTTCAATTAAAAAACTGAAGATATTAGAAAATGAACAATATGTATAGTACATTGTATCAAAGCAATCAGACTTGCTGTTCTCAACAAGAAGATATCATTGAGAAATGAACAATATGTATAGTAAAGCAATGGAACTTTCTGTTTTCAACAAGAATTCAAAAATATCACTTTTCACTAAAAATTACAAAAATAATCATCAAAATTAGATAATTGAAGATATCACCATGAAATTAACAAATCAGAGGTCCACATGTAGTACCTATATATGTTATATAAAAGCAATCGGACTTGCGGTTTTCAACATAAAGTTGAAAATATCACATTTACAAAAAATTACAAAAATATTCACCAAAATTGGAGAATTAAAGATATCATCACAAAATGAACAAATTTGAGAGAGGTCCACATGTAGTACCTATATATGTAATATCAAAGCAATTGGCCTTGCGTTTTTTAACAAGAAGTCGAAAATATCACTTTTTACCAAAAATGACAAAAATATTCATCAAAATTAGAGAATTAAAGATATCATTACAAAATGAACAAATTTGAGAGAAGTCCACATGTAGTACCTATATATGTAATATCAAAGCAATTGGCCTTGAATTTTTTAACAAGAAGTCCAAAATATCACTTTTTACCAAAAATTACAAAAATATTCATCAAAATTTGAAAATTGAAGATATCATCACGAAATGACCAAATTTGAGAGAGGTCCACATGTAGTACCTATATATGTTTTTAACAAGAAGTCGAAAATACACCAAGTATCAAAGCATTCAGGCTTGTAGTTTTCAAGAAGAAGTTGAAAATGTAAAACATTGACATGGACGACGAAGGTCACCGACGACGGACGACGACGAACAATCACTCATATGATAAGCTCCTCTCGACAAAGTCGACAGCGGAGCTAAAAAGTCATTGGAATTTAAAATGTTAAAGGAAATAATTGCCAAATGTTGTTTATATCATTATTTATGCAAGCATAGTTCAAATAAAAGAATATAATCATACAGCCCTCCAGTATGCAGCCATTTTGGTTGCCATAGCGATTAAAAACCTTTATGTAATACTATAGTCTAGAATACTAGGAATACTCCAAAGTCTAAAAATCTTCTTGATCAGAAATCATAGAATTCACACATCGGAAATGTACATGTTGTCAAATTCTGATTTTGCACAGTTATACTGAATGTCATGTTTGTTTTTACTGTATTTGATATAGTGTCATCCACATTGCATTATTTACATGCTGTGTGATAGGGTAGGGTAGGCCATAAGATCACATTTGTTGACGACAAAAAAATGTAAACATAATATATTTTACCATTCAACAACAGTCTGCAAAATGTTACCCATGTAACAATAACATGTCTATTATTAAAATTGAATCCTGTGCAACCTTAGACACCTGTCTCAAGTGAACAAATTTAGACGTAACCTTATGTTGCCCAGATGCCTGTTTAAACTAATCCCTGTGACCTAGAAATCTGTCTAAAAAAAGTTACCCAGCAGCATGTCTAAACCAACATGCTACCCAGGAAACCTGCATGGTGCAACCCAGACACCCATGTAGACTGAACCTGGTGCAACCCAGACATCCATCTAAACTGAACCTGCATGTGCAACCCAGACACCCATCTAAACTGAACCTGTGCGACCCAGACTCTCATCTAAATTGAACCTAATGCAACCAAGACTCCCATCTAAACTGAACCTGGTGCAACCCAGACACCCAACTAAACTGAACCTGGTGCAACCCAGACACCCAACTAAACTGAAACTGGTGCAACCCAGACTCCCAACTAAACTGAAACTGGTACAACCTAGACTCCCATCTCAACTGAACCTGATGCAATCCAGACTCCTATCTAAACTGAACCTGTGCAACCCAGACTCCCATCTAAACTGAACCTGTGCAACCCAGACACCCATCTAAACTGAACCTGTGCAACCCAGACACCCATCTAAACTGAACCTGTGCAGCCCAAACACCCATTTAAACTGAACCTGATGCAATCCAGACACCCATCTAAACTGAACCTGGTGCAACCCAGACACCCAACTAAACTGAACCTGAAGCAACCCAGACTCTCATCTAAACTGAACCTGAAGCAACCCAGACATTTATCTAAACTGAATCTGGTGCAACCCAGACACCCAACTAAACTGAAACTGGTACAACCCAGACTCCCATCTAAACTGAATCTGATGCAACCCAGACTCCCATTTAAACTGAACCTGATTCAACCCAGACTCCCATCTAAACTGAACCTGGTGCAACCCAGACTCCCAACTAAACTGAAACTGGTACAACCTAGACTCCCATCTCAACTGAACCTGATGCAATCCAGACTCCCATCTAAACTGAACCTGTGCAACCCAGACTCCCATCTAAACTGAACCTGTGCAACCCAGACACCCATCTA